CTGGCTGTATTTCTTGAACGGGACTCCTTTACGTTGTAACCCCCTGCTGCTGTTGATTCCCTTAGCACAGGTGCAGCCGTGAACAGCAGCGAGAGCCTCCCTCCCTCCTCCTCTATCAACGACATCTCCTCCATGTCCACCGACCAGACCCTGGCCTCAGACACTGACAGCAGCCTGGAGACCTCTGCAGGACCCCTGGGGTGTTGCAGGTGACTAGCCGCCTGCCTGCGCAACCCCATGTTCTTCCGAAGGTGAAGAACGCGACCGAAATGACCAACTGCAAATACAAAAAAAAGGAAAAAAAAAGAAAAAAAAGAGTAAAGATCAAAATTAATATATTAAGAGCAAAAACATGAGTTATGGAAACACAGAATCTGAAATGATGAAATCTAAAGCCTGTGCATTGTCATTCAAAAACAGCAGTGGTATTTAAACTGAAGTAAATGAGCTGAGATATATGTTAATGATTCTCTAGTTGCTTTGCTTATATTACCCCAAATATCTTGTATATGGCATCCAAACACAACGACCAAATGCTTAGACTTGCATCTCCTGCAAAGTGCATATTGGCTGGCTGCTGGTCTCCCAATTCCTTACAAATTACTTATGCTCCAATCACTGTGGCAAGGTGGGCTGCCATCTTTGCTCATTATTACTGTACAATACAAGCTTCATTCCTCCCCCTCCCCTCTCCTCCCCAGTCCTTATGTACTGACACTGCTGTATTTTAACCTCAAGGCTTTGCCTTAGACCCCCCCGCCCCAATCATCCCCACCAAACACGATCCCCCAATGTAAGGTTGCCTGATTTGCGTGTTTTTATGTGGTTCTTCTGCAGGGATGTGTAGTCTCTCTCACCCGAGCGGTGCTCCCTGCAACACTTGTAAATAATGTAATTCTGTACAGCTGAAGGGCACACAGAGCGGGACTGACGGCCAGTACACTGGGAGTTTTTTTTCTGACTAGCGCACCTTGCCACATCACCGCTTCCCACCTCAGTTGCCCCTGCCTATTGCTGTAGTCCTGCATGGTTAGATTTAAAACAATGCTAATCTCAACTGTATGCTAAAATGAGTCTGTATAGAGACTTTTGTTTATATATGATGTAAACTAACTCAACTCCAGACACGGAGGGGGTCTGGTCACAGGATAGGACGTGTGAGTGTGAGTGTGTGTGTGTATGTGTGTGTGTGTGTTTGTGAACCACAGGCAAGCCATTAAGACATTGGTAAATGTCAGGGCTGGGTTTGGGACTTAAAGGGTCATTACACTCAGAGATAAATTATTTTGATTGTGCTCAGACTTCATGTGATTACATGTAGTCTGATTTGTTTGTAATGTCCCTTTTATTTCCCCTGGCAGTGTATGATTGGTCCCTCCACCACTCCTCCACCACTCCTGCATGTCATTGTGTACCATTAACTCCTCATAGGCACAGGAGGTTGGTCTATTTCACTGTGGTGTAACCACAAGGAGACTATTCTTATTTATTTGACTCTGACACATTGAACACTTTCAGAAGGAGATACAAGTAAACAGTCTGTAGTTAAAGGGCGGTTGGTGAGTGTTAACCTCGTAGCGATGACTTGTTTTCTTCTGACGTAAATTCACGCACATCAGTTCACATCATGTGCTGTGTGTTTGTTATGAAAATGAATAAAAAGGGAACCGGACAGAGGCCACCTATCAGTTATGTTCTATTTCTTAGCTGGAAGAGTTATTTATTGATTTATTTATTTTCATAGATGGAACCTGAATATGGCAAGTGCCTTTTGGAATGAAGCATTGCAGGTGCAGATATCTTATTTACTTTTTTGTTCTTTTTTTTTTTCCTCTGCTTCTTCTTTTTCTGCCTTAAAACTACCTGTGTCCCCAAACCACCAAATCCCTGGTGGAAACGAAGCAAAACACTCTGGCCAGATGTTAGCCAGTGTCTTGTTTCGTGGCTTAAGACAAATCTGTTGTTTTCTTTCACATGATAAAAGGTTTTCTGCCATTCTACCTTTTGATTCAATTTTGCTTTTCATTTCTCCTGTGAAATCTCATCAGTCTTTATAAAACAGGGTGACTAGATTTCCTCAAAACTGGGACACTAACACAAACACTTAACAAGCATTGTTTGCACTGAACTTTGCAAAGGCTTGGCAGCTGTAGTGCACTCTTTGTCTCATTCACACTGTCAGGTTACAGCCTGCTAAGTAACATCTAACTTTTGATTGTGAAAAACCATTGCTTTTTAATTTAAAAAAAAAAGAAAAAAAAGAAGGTGTACAGTATGTTTGGCAGACTGGAATCAGGCGAGACAGTATTGCGCACCAGGAACATATTCCATCCAATATCTATCCCATAATATAATATTTTCACTATTCACAGCAAGACTTTGAGCTGCAATATGCAATGGTTGATTGCAATTAAGGTGTTGCTACAGCTTTAGATAAAATGCACTCTAACTGGAAACCAGGCAGTCGACCTGTCACTTGTTTATTTGTGTATACTGTGTTCATCATTAGTTTTACTGGAATAAAAGAAGACATTCTCATTATTTTGGTTTCCACTGCCATATTTCATGTTTCCATACAGGTTTGTGGGTTTATGGACTGTTTAAGGAACCACTGACAGAGTGCTGGGTTATGAAATCATATTTTACAAGCAGAGAAATAATTTTCACAGTAATGATCTCTGCTGGTGGATGGGAAGACCTTCTGGGAACTGTGAGCTGTGAACAACACAAATAGATCACTCTCTATTGTATGCATAGTTTGCATCAAAGACTGGATTACCTGTTTTGTAGTGTCTTGTCACTCGACACTATAACTGACAATATACAGAAATCAAAGGCACACTCAAGGATTCTTGCACTGTCTCTTAATGAAACAACATCTGTGTGTCAAAACACCATTTACAATAATCTCTATGAATATCACCATATTTCCTCCTTACGGAAATTGCATGGCTCATATGTTCACCGGTTAAAATAAAGGTTCTCAGTGGTGACGCTGTTAAAACAGATGTGCTCACATCACTGTTCATCTTACTGTATCTCTGTATGGGCAGCTGCAGCACAGCGGCTCTCTTCTCGCATGTCTCAAAATCCCTCCGAAAAACTCATGTACATAACTTCAAAACAGCTACTTTGTTAACACTCATTCTGCCTGTGGCTTGTGTACAGTGAACCACACACAGACTTACAGTACCTTCACGGAGCGAAGAGGGTAACTTGAGGGCGGCGTCTCCAGAATAAGCTATGGCTAGCTTGGCTTTCTGTTCAGGGTCTGGCCAGGGCAATCTTTCAAAACAGGGTGCAACTTTAAATTCTTTTGGTTTTTTTTTTTCTTTCTTTTGTTTTTTGTTTTTTTGTCTTTTGAAAATGTTAAGATGAATTTCTCACAAAGGGGTCTAATGTTTGAATCGGCTCCTATACTCCACAAATACCCACAATACTGTTGCAGTTTTTCTACAGGGCATTTTTAACCATCCCAGCTACTACACTCTTCTTTTTAGTATCTTTTACATGTTCTGGACACTGAGTACAAAAACTGAAACAATTAATGTATTTTTTTTTTCTTTTTCTGAATGTGAACTTTGGATCTTTTTTATAAGATATCCCTCCAGACAATTCTGTTATAATAAAAAGGTGCTTTTGGTCCTGTTTGAAAGTAGAGACGACTCTAACACAGAAGCAGCTGGGTTGTCAGCACTGAATGTAGAAATGAATGGTTTCACAATTACACACGACATTGCTGCTCTGCTCATCAGTGTGTGTGTGTGTGTGTGTGAGTGTGTATGTGAGTGTGTGATTAAATTAACCAGCATTCAACTCAAACTGTCTGTAAGGTTTAATTAGAAGACGTGATCTGGCATCTGGGCAAATAATTCTACGGTACATTATTTCAGTACAAGATCATGGATTTTGTGTGACTGAGTTTGAAGAATGTCGATCAGTACAGTCATGTGTTTGAAAGTAGTTCACGTGTGTATTTATGTTTTCGGTCACATTAACTTAGAATTTAGAAATGTGTCAACTACCAATCCTGTTCCTAATTTTTGTCACAAGCGACTAAACGTGGTCAATGTGGATTCAGGATTAGCCACATTCACGTCTGTTAGCCATTTATCTGTAACATGAAGATGACTGACTTGTCATTCAGCCACAATATTATTGCCAATGTGAAAGTTAGGATTACATCTTGTACTCAGTTGTGCCAACATTAAAATCTTTGGGCTCGGTACTTGTGATCCCCAGCTTACTGAATCTCACCTCTTTCTTTCAAGTCATATTGTAAATAACAACAATCCAACAATGCAATAAACACTATTGCACTCAGACAGGGAGGCAAGCTACTGCAAGGGTCAGGTGATGCGAGTCTTAAATGTGGAACTCTACAATGATGAAACCCTGTATAGCTCATCTGAATCAGGTGATGTTGTTCTTCAATTCTTTTATGATTCCTTCTCTCTTGTTTCTTTTACTCCGTGCTGTTTTAATGAATCATTCTTTTTGACATTGTCAGGTTGAAAAAAATAAAAATAAAATAAACAAATAAATTGTATCTGTTTCACGCTGATCTTAAAGCTTCAGGCTATAGCGTTTCAAATAAAGTGAAAACAAATGCAAAAGAAAAAGAAAAAAAAATTACTGGAAGCTGTTACTGTAAACACAACATTTTAAAGGAACTGTGTATGTAAAAATAGTATATGTATGTGATTGAAAATAAACAAAACCTTTGATCTTGGATAACGGAGTAGCTTTTTCTTTTACCTGGGGTGTTTGATTTATACTGTGGGACAAGATAAGATAAAAGGAGATTTGTTAATCCCACAGAGGGAAATTTGCAATGTGGCCATATTATGTATTTCTGGCCTCAATAGACTCAATGAATTTGATTAGTCATCAGCCAAATTCTGTATCTTCTCCATGTGTTTAATATAAAAATGTTGCAGCATTGGAAAAACAGACTCCAAAAAGTAGAGAGGGAGACTCACATGAAAATGCATCTTTATTCATATTAAGTCATTTTTCAAAGTTCCTTTGTGTATCAAGTATCTTGTCATCAAAATATTCCGCCATCACACTCTTCCTCTCCCTCTTGCCATGTCCATAATCTGCTCTTTTGTGTGGAATTCACAGAATGAGGTGACACTGTCAGCTTGGCTTAAGCCTATTATTTCCCGGTGAAGGGTGCAAAATGAGAAGCACAGACTCCCCTCCCTCCTTCAGTTGCTCAGGCACTTTTTTCCCCCTCTCCATGTTCACATTCCAGATGTCCTGCAATGACCAGCAGCAGGTTTAAATGGGACCTGGTCTCCAGAGGAAAAGTAGCCAGTAGCAGGCCTGTGCGCACATGCACACATAAACTCCTTTGGAGACAAGTCTGGTCCTGGTCTGTATTCAGATGTGTCCTGTTTTGTACCCATTTGCAAATCCACATTGTGTGTAGACATTTGGTTTGAAGCTAAATAAATACACTCATAAAGACTTTATCGATATGCAGTCACTTTATAGACATTCACTTGTTGCACACCGACCCTCATGGACTCATGCACCATCATGCGCAAACCACTTGTGACTGAATTTAGCAACCAGTTTTTTTCAATGTTGACACTCTTGATGCAGTAATCCCCCCACTTTTCTTTTCACAGTTATGACCCAAAAGCACAACTCTGATGTAGCTGCAGCTTATTCTGTGCTAAACCACAGGAGAGTATTTTTAAAACTGGCATCTCATATGCTCAGACACAGACTCTAAGCTGTATTTCCCAAGAGCATTCACAGAACAATGCCAGCTGCACATCTGTTAATGGGGGGAGTACATTTTGTCACCTGAAATTATGAACAGGCATTTTTTAAAATTTTATCTGGGATTTACGCCAATGACCCATCGTGCAAGTCGTCATCGTGCAAATTTATTTTTTACAAGCTACAAAACATTCTTCAATCAGTATCCATTCATAATACGTGCCATATCCATCTGAATACGCTTCAAACCACAGTACAGACTAACAAGTAGTGTTTACAATTATCTATAAAATATTTACAGTACAGGCTCTTTTTTTTTTGGTCATGGGGTAAATGTAACAGCACAGAAGCACAGGCACATATACAGTATATTGTCCGATTTAAATGATACACACATTGACCGACAGGACATTCAGTACCACCTTGATGAGACACGAAACAAACATGTAAGTGCAAGGAAAAAAGTCTTAATATAAAATATCACACATTGATAACTTTGCTTAAATATCAGATAAACATTTAATTACTACTTTCATTTCTCTTTACATACATATGATGCTGTGTTCTTCTGCACTGTCTCCCTCTATGTACATGAGCAGATACAGAATTACATGGAACAACAACATATTTTTTTGGTTAGATTTTAAAAGTGAATTAAGATAGGGAGGAGTTTTGGCATGGTCTTCAGCTGTTTTCAGGTCCAAGGTCGGTATTTTATTGTTTTGTTTTTTTTTTTTGCTGAACAACCTTTTTAAATGTTTTACCTTCCCGATCTGACTCTAGGAGCTAATATAAAATAAAAGTAGTACTGTATATCATCATAGACTATGGTGTCCTGTCCCTTTACTCCACTTCCAAGTCGGATGAGTGCGTACCACAACAGTTTCTAAGTAGGTTGGAGAGAGTCTGAAAACTGTTTAAATAATGCTGTATTTACAGATAATGTCACTCTGACATCACTCCAGGTGATGTCTACATTTATACAGGTGGCTTGCATTAGCCGTACACCACCTATTTCTTAAATTACAACATGCCGTTAACCTTTCCAACTTGCTTTTTACAACCAGCAGCCAAATCCTGTTTGGAGCCCGCGTAATGTTCACATCATATAATTAACAATTTCCAGTCTTCCCTAACATTTCAGCCCCAACTCCCTGGCTTCTCCTCACTGTATCCAGATGGTGTTGTTACGATCTGGTCGGCGGGGGTCGGCGGCTGTGGCGTTGCCAGTCGCCGTGAGGTCACTGAATGTGGAGAAAAACTGTTCCATCTCTTTCTGCAGCATCTGATTTCTGCGCTCGGCATCGTCCTTGGCGCGCTCTGCATTGCGCAGCTTGATCTCCGCCATGGTGTACTTCTTCCTCTCCTGGTCCAGCTCCTCGTGGAGGCTCACCATTTCTGTCTCCAGCTCCAGGTTGCGCTGCTCCAAGCTGCAAAGGAGGTTACACAGGATTAAGAAAAGGGGCATGGCATTGTGGTCTTGTGACATAACAAAGTTACAGAAGTCCCGACGGCTCATTTTAAGGCTCAGTTACTGAATACAGGCTATGTGCTTTTCTCTGTGGACTGAGCACTTTGATATTTTCACAGTATTAATATAGAACCTAGAGCTGCTTTATAATCAAAAAAGACATGGAAATCTCACTTTATAAAATATGTACAATATGGGACCTTTAATATGAAGCTGGAGCTAAATGTCAGTACCTTAGCTAACTTAATCTGCCTCCCTGTTTTTTATTTTTTGGCAATATTCTTCCTAAATGATTCCTAAGCAACTGTTAAACACAGGCTGTAATCAAAATAATCGCTCACTATTACAAACAAGATTATTTTTTCAAATTTAGCCATGTGGATGAATTGTATGAATTGTATGAGGGTATGTATTCACTTATGTTTTTCTTAACAGATATAAAGATCACATGTAGATCGAATTTTTCATGCTCTTCATTTACCTCTTTATCCTGGCCTCATACTCAGTCTTCTGCTTGTGCATCTCCTGTTTGAGACTGGCCACTAAGCTGTGCAGAGCGCTGTGGCTTCCGGGTCCATTACCAACCATGAAGCCGTCACTATTATCACTACTGCTGGTGCTCCGACTGCTCCTCCCTGCTCCGTCTCCTCCACCTTCCCTGTTGATGCTCCTGCCCTCCCCCTCTCCTCCTCCTCCTCCTCCAATAGACTGAGGAGGTTCATTATCCTGTGCTGGTCCATCCAAGTCTTCATAGTGTCCTCCATAGAAGTCCTGCTCGGGGCAGGTTGTGGTGGAGGAACGACAGGAAGTGGAGTTGTCAGGAAGAGAGATTTCACAGGAGGAGGTGGACCAGGTGGCGCTGTCCACGCTCTGTTTGTCCTCACAGCTGCTGTTCAGACACGTGTTGGTGATCTGGTTCTGCAGCTGCAGGTTCTGGTGGTTTAACTGGACATTATCATATGTGGACAGACGATTCTGATTGGTTGTTTGTTCCCCATTAGAGCAGTCGCGTGTTTTATTGTTCACCCGTAATGTGACGCAGCCGTTTGGTACCCAAAGGCCATTACGGCCGTTTGGACTCCCTGTGACCGCATCAGTCCCTGAAATGCCCATACGCACAACTCCAGTCCCATTCCCTCCAGTGTTGCTTCCGCCTGCCACACCACTGGTGCCCATTTTTGTGCCTGAGCCTTTGAGCGTCCCACTGCGCCGCACTGGTAAACTCCCACCTCCAGTCAGAGTCTGGCTCTTGTCTTGATTGGGATCTGAGGAGGACGAGGAGCTGAAGGAGCCGTTTGTAACAATCCCGCTGCCTTTACTGAACGCCGGGTTCTTTTTAACAGTCAGCGGAGGACTACGGGTGATGTCAAAGCGTCCTACCACCCCATTGCGAGGGCTTGATGGCCGCGGGGAGCCACTGTTGTCTACGTGTTGGCGGTGCAAGGGAGACTCGGGTGCTTCCCAGACACACTGCCGGACCACCTGTGTGTTGTTGTTCTCGGCGTTCTGAGATACTGTGGTGATGGCGGAGGTAGTTGTGGTGGCTTGTCGCCGCGGTAGTTCAATGTTGTTGTTGTTGACCAGCTCGAGGGCAGTGGGGCTGTCCTCATTGTGAGGGAATAGCACATCGTGGCGGCCAATCAAAAAGGCCATGAGCTGCTGGACCAGAACAGTACCTGACAACATGAGACCGCACATCATTATCTTTATCATTTGAGATGAGTTCAGCATCAAAACGAAACGTCAGAAAACAAGATGTGTCTACATAACTGGCTTGAATACTGACCTTCCATAATGGCTACTGGATCCTCAACCTTCGGCCTCAAGATATTTGGACCAAAGACTGTGGCCAAGTTCTGAACGCTCATTTTATTCACTCCTGAATACGACTGGACTTCATCTAAAAATCTAGAAACACGAACATACCTTCAATGTTTCACTGTTCAATAATGGTCACACTTTGAAATGTGATGCACTTTAACAATAAATCAGTACCTGCAGATGTACTTAAGAAGGTTGTAGTTGACTGGAGGTAGACTTTCCACAAGCCGTCTCAGCTCCTTCATACCCTGCAGATGACGGACACTTTTTTTTAGGCAACATCAGATCAATAATTCATATCAATTCATATCATAAGATATGAAGTGTAATTTACACCTTATCAAATATAACAATTACACCCAAAGACCAGATAAAGAATAAAAGAAATAAGGTGAAAAGCTTTGTACACAGTGTGTACGGAGCTAGAGCTGTTGGAGATGAACGTTAAGCCAAAGAAATAAACCACAAGTGTCTGTGGTAGCGACTGCACACTTAACCCATGAAAAATATGATAAAGGACCTTTTATTAACACTGCAACATGGTTCTCTCAGAGTTTCATCAGACTCATTAAAAGGTTTTATGAAAGCAATGATTTTCTTTTTTTTAGAATTAATGAGAATATCTGACATCTCTGCATAAAAGGAACCTCAGGTGTCTTTATGAGGAGTTTAACAACTATTATAAGAATCAATGTGTCATTTCTTTTTACTAATTCTGTAATTTCACGAATGAAAAACCTCTATATGTGTGCAAAAAAAATGCAAAAAAATGAATGCAAAACACTAATCAAAGAGATGAAAAATGAAATTGAACAACAAATTAAACAATATGGTGATTTATAGAATTTCTATATTTATGTATCATCATTCACAAGTGAGTCTCACAGGATTACTCTGAACCAAAAACCCAGTGGCAATCCACAGACACACTTTGTGAGACTTCAATTCAGTCCTAACAGCTGCAGAAACAAACAATGTTTAAACCAAATATTAGAATTAGAAATATTCTGCTCACTGTGTCCCTTCTCCATTTCAAAGTCCCAGGAGGTTTAAAAGACGGGGCAGCTCTAATCTACACTTGAGGCGTTAAAACATGTTTCTGAACTTGCATAAAAGAACACACCCACGCTCGTGCATACGCACAAAGGCACAAACTTGGACTCTCAAGTGAAAATGGGGGAAAAATGCTTTGTGAGGAAGCAGGGGAATGGTCCTCTGCTGTCAGCTGTGCTTTATGGTGTGAGATAAATCCTATTTAGATGTTAGAAGTAGAGACAGGCACAACAAAGTCATTGTTGAGACAGCAGAGCTGACCGTGGATAACCGGGCTGTGAAGCTTTAATGCCACAAAACAGGACTGTGATAGATTCATGCGACAGCTTTTCAGCGCTGCCTTCTGTTCATGAATCAGACTTTAAACTTCACCTGGAGGAATAAAGTGAGTGAAACTCAATTTGTTGGTCAATAGAAACTCATCAAGTGCTCCTCCTCACCATTTCATCATCCTTGCTGAGGAGCTTGGCGGACGCCAGGAACTCATCATACTTGTGAAAGGGGACGACGGGCTCCGGCAGCTCTCTGAGATACAGCTTCAGTAGAGAAGCTACTGTATGCACATCAGTGTTACTGTGAAGAAAGACAAGACAGAGACAGAAACAGAAACAGGGTGAAGGGTTGAGGTTATAATTTATTATGGCTGCATGGCATGGACACACACAACACAAATCACCGTGACGCCTCCTGCAAGAAGAGTGCAACAGGAAACGGATGGAATCAGAAGAAATGATAATGTAAATACCACACAGCAAGCAAACGGGACATAAGAACAGAGAGGCAGCAAGGTAAAAAAAAAAAAAAAATTGAGTGACAGAGGGAACAACAAGAAGACTGGGGTGGCTTGGATGATCTGCCAAGAGGCAAGAGGATTCCCACTGTAGGCTGAGAGACGCTAATGAGGCAGGAGGGCACAAAGCTGGTGAGGGAATCACCAAGAGTAGAGACAGTTAGGGAGAAAAATCTGAAAGTGCAGTTGTTCTCATTACATGACGTGAGTTGTGTTAAAGCCAGAGTACTTCTGAGTGTGATGCTGTGTCCAGTGTTTCTAGCCAGTGGCGAGATGTTGATGTAGCTATAGACGGGTTGCCGACAGTTCTATCTAGGTTTTATTTATGGTCATCGGGGGAGGTATCGGGGGAGGTATGGTGGGAGTGGTGGGTGGGAGGGAAACAGGGAGGAAGAGGCAGCATGTTCCATCACTAATGCATTTCTCTGTCAGTGTGAGAAATGGATGAAGACTGTCACAGCTCTCAGTCTCTCGGTGCCACCACCTACACACAACATTTCTTCTTTTTTTTTTGGATCGCGGAGGATTTACTGAACATCTTGTCTCCTCTTCACAATTTAGCCTTTTTTTTTGTTTTACACAAGTACTGTATCTGGAAATCAAATCCACGCAGATTTTGCATGTCAGGTTCAACTCTAGTGAACTTTGACCATCTTGAGAGTGCTGAACTTTGACTGATGATTAATGTATCAAATGAAATCAAATCTGTTCATTGTCATTTTTACCATGAATTTCTGTCAGGCATAATAAAAGTATCGTTTTTCCAGGGATCAAGGTACAAGGTCATGACATAAATAACACAAATAACCCTGGGACACGTAAACACCAGTAAAATAAATAACACTGTAATGGCTTGTAGCTTGTTAGCCTTGTTGCACCACTCACTTTTATTGAACCCCCCCCCCCCCCCCCCGTTGGAGAATGAATGTTTCATGGTTTTAAGACAGTTTATGAGACAGGAGTTGATGGTGCAAATACATCTCACAATTAAACTGAACTTAGTGTCCCACTAGCAACCGAGCTTATTGTCCCATTAGCTTGCTGTCAGTTAGCAAGCTAACGGATAATCAATAATAGCTTCTTTGCCCCTCTTCAATAACTCTTTTTTGAAGGAAAGGATGTGCAATCCAGACACAAGTCTTCTCTCTACTGCTGGTGCAGAGTAAACAGAGAGACGCTAACCAAAGGCTTAAAATGCTTTACTGATTGATTTAAAATTTGATCGACTTATTGTAGAAGATCTGTTCTACTCAAATCAAATTGAGTAGTTTGGTATTCGTTAAGAAATATCCACCCAAGATGTTTCTACTCTTCTGAGCACGTGACAAACACAGGCCTTTTTCTCCGTAAACACACTGAGTTGTCACAGCAGGAGAAGCACAGGTGGAAATGATAAACATGAACGACTGATCAGTTTCATGTGTTTCACTGAGTCAGCGAATGCAGCATCCCATAACTAACAAAACTAAATCTAATGCCGTCATCGTTATTAGCCTTATTAACCACATGTAACATTTTCCTGCTTTGACATATAAAGTATCTGCTGTGAGAAAGACATTAGATCACTGCTTTTACAATGCTGCGCTGCTCGGAAGAGGTAAAATGTGGACGGAGCTTTCACAAAAAAATTTATTTTCTCCCACATTTACCAGCTCTTACCCTTCAGTGTGATAAAGACAAAGCCTCCATAACTATCTGTCAGTTAATCACAGCACAGGTCCTGGAGAACGTTGGCAGGAACACAAGTAAAATGAGTATAGACAGATTAAACATCATGTTCGATAATGATGAGCAGAAGATGTATGCAAATCTGACATTAAGATTAAATTGAAAACATGCTTTCCTTTTGTGATTTTTATGCTTTTACCTTTAAATTTGGAGCCAGATTTAAATTTTGTCACAGTGGATCCTTCCCAATGTCTTTGTTGTGTGACACAGGTTGCAAACTAGATACATCTAAACCCAAACTCACTCACTTTTAATTCTTTGTACTTCTGTAAACTTTCGATCCAGTCCACCGGGAGCGCCCGTGTGGTCCAAGAGGTGCAGAATTTGACGCGTCAACAATCTCAACATATCAGCTTCACAGTAAAATGCACTGAGGAAATCCAACCACGTTTCCTTACCAATCAAAAGAGGGTTTTTCTCCACAGTCGAAGGCATCCTGCAGCTCTTTGACCAGGTTGGCCTGTCCGGGCAGCCTGAATAGACCTTCTTCCTGAAGGCCCCACTGCCGAATGAAATCCACACACTGCTCTACCAGCATAGGGGCGAGCTTGTTCCCAAACCGGCGTTCATACCGCACCGTCTCCTCCAGCTTCTGACCAAAGATCCCTGAAACACAAGACAAAAACACTTAATACTGGTACAAGATTGATAAATAGCAATGGCTACAACAAATCAGCATCGGGCGATTCTGTTTTCACTCCATATTTGAACATTTATTCATAACGACCAAGCTTTTATTTTGACACAAACTGTAGAACAGTCACATCTCAATGGGAGAATAAGCTCTTAACACAGTGACTTCAACACAGCAAAGATGTATATAATGTGGTTCTTTACAGCTAATTAGTTGTATTTTTTCTTTTGAAATATTCATACTGTTTAATGTCCTACATTCTTTAACTTTCTCTCCCAAAGTGAAAGGGGCTTTTTTTTTAAGGAATTACAAAAGAGAAAAAAAGCATTAGCATACCATCTACAGCTCGAGGCACATCAAAGGGAGCAGTTAAATCGATTGAAAAAGATTTATGATAAGGTCGGCCAGACAGTCCAAGCAAAAAATATGTACACCCACAAAGCCTTAGTCTGATGATCAAATCTCTAACTTCCTGCTGAGCAACTCTCGCCTTTTGTCTGAGGCAGTCGCTGTAAAAAAAAAAAAAAAAAAAAAAAGGGGAGGGGGCTGATTTCCATTTGTAGCTGTCTCATGTGGACGCAACACAAGAGGGGATTAAGGCAGCCTTCCTGAGAGATTTGGATCTGCATACTTTTCCGGTCTCTAGATACAGACAGAGGCTACCCACACACATGCACACACGTGGTACAACAAGGTACCGCACGGTGACTGAATTCGACTGAGCTTACCGGGATCCTCGTGCTCTTGACAACATTTGACACAGCATGCGACAGCTTAAAAACAACTGGTGCTAAATATGAACATTACACAATATTTGATCAATTCAGAATGTGGCTTCCCTGGTAAAGAAATGCAAATGCTTCAACACGGCTTCATTAAAAGAGCCAGACTTAAACTAACACATGTTTGTATCAGTTGTTGTCACACTCACCCCTCTTGACACTGACACACCTTGTAAGCTTCCGGAAGAAATGCCTATTAATAAATTTGTGATAAGATAACATAGCAGAGGTGCAGAATTTAAAGCGCCTGCATTCTGGCATTTTCCAAGAACCAGCCTCAGTTTTTTTTTCTTTTTTTGCAGTTATGACAGAAAGCAGATAATCAATGCAGAAATGAAAGAGATGCATGGGTTGGATAGCAGGTCAAACTGTCCTCATTTCCATCTCTGAGTAAATCATCTCTCATTTGAAAACAAGCTGCTCAGAAGTGAACAGCGGAGTCTTGCGTTCTCTTCTTTCTCCTCTGGGTCAGTCACTTTGGGGACGTTTCCAATTCGATCTTTACAGCAACCCAAATAAGACAAAACAGTAAACAGTCACAAATTCCCAAGAAACGTTTGAAGCTGTGTATCCATTTTCCAAATCTTAGATGGATCAGAGTGAAATGCAGATAAGTCGAGCCGCGCCGCAGAGTGAAGACGGATGAATATCCTCACACACATGTTGAAAAGAGCATCAGAGAACAAACGAGAAAAAAGTGACTGAATGAAAACGAGGTCATCCCTCCAGACGTTCTGGTCATGAGTTTAGGAATGTTTTCCCGGGTCACATGTGTAAGTGTTGTGTGTGAACCGGCTTATACACTGGCTGTGCATGTGTTTATATGCGTGTTTGCGGCTCCCACTTGGACTGGGTCGTACCACAAACCACAGAGGCTTTGGCACATGCTGTGAGAGTGAGACCTCCACTCTGCAGGCGCTCAACAGGTTCCTTCAGCACTCACACACACACATAGAGAGAGAGCTCCAGACACAACACAGACTATTCCTTTCTAAATTTCCTTGTCTTTGCTTCTTCTTCTGTGGTACAGTTGGATGAACGTTCCTTAAATAATTCCTTGCTTTGCTTAATGTTAAGATAAAACATTCATAGCGAACTACAGCGGAGCAAAACAACCTTAGCTGTTTTAGTGTGTCTCAAACTATACACTGACACAGAAAAAACCTATGCTGTGTATCTCAAGCAAGAATAATAAGTTCTCCACCAGAGCACACTAGAAGAAGACGAGATCACTGCTATTTTGGAGATGAGAACAGACAGAACAAATATTAATATTAAACCATGCAACCTGGAAAGCCATTGGATCATGAGATATCTTGCAAAATATGACAAATTCTTCACAGTAGTGCAGACAGATGTTATTCATGGTAAATAACTCTGACGTTAAATTTACCAGAACACAATCAAAGTGAAGCCCAGGGGCTTAAGGGTGTATAAATATTTGCAGGGAGATCATTCTGATCATGACATATTTATAGACAACTACTGAATATGAAATCCACTGGGCTCATTTTCATCTTCCTAAAAGCTTGCTATCACTTTGAAATCATGAAACACGACATAATTAGAAATGGGAATTACTCAGTTCAGTTCAACCAGCGTGATATCGCAGCTCTAAGGAACAGAGTGTTTCAATTTGGGACTCAGAGGCAGAATATATATCGCAGGTAAACACCATCTAACCTCAAGTATCACTCACTCAACACGAGTTTGACAAACCTTGATATTATGCTAAAGAACTTTTCTACTCTACTTTAAGGCTCATATTAGCTCTGATTCAATTCAGCTCATGTCTGGTTTACACATGTCCAATCCATAACTAAATAACATTTAACCATCACATACTTTTAGCTTTGCTTTTTTCACTTCTTAAACTAAATTAAATGGTTTGGGAGCGAGACTGAAACGGATACAACACATGCCAAAGAGAGAAGACTGTGTACAGAAGGTTTTCTCCAAACTGACAAAAAAATGTGTCTCTGGTTGGTTGAGCTGATGTGTGGAAATTATTATCATGACCTCTGCCATTACTGAATTTCACTGCACCCCAATTATTAGACAAAAAATGAATGAAACAGTCTGGGAATTCTCAATCTAAGCTGTAAAATGCGTGACCTTCATAATAAAACAAACTCAAATGGGGCACTGCAGTGTTTTAATTTCGAGTTTAAATTTGCCTTTTTAATTTCTTACACAGTATCAATCCAACAGCAACAACAGTCAAAGCGCTTCAATTTAAAATGTCAGCTCTTTCCCAAGTTACAGATAAACAAGCTGGTAATTACCATGAAATAAATCTCCAAAGATCCAGATGGAGAGGCCACAGCTGCACATTTCTCAAAGGTCTGGCTTCAAGCTCTCCCCTGTCCAACTGTTTGTACAAGAAGGCCTGTAATTAATTCAGCATCATGGCATTCAGCGCCACATTACAGCAAACATGACAGCAAACTGTTAGGGGCTCCAAGCTCTTGTGTGGGTCACACACAGGGGCTTGGCTTTGGGAGCTCCCTCCCTGTCTGTCACTCTCTGAACAGAATCCCACTTCAGGGCCAATCAGGGCTCAGATGGTCTCTGCTGCTACTGCAAAATGTGAAAGGCTGGAATATGAGAGTGTGTGTGTGTGTGTGTGTGTGTGTGTGTGTGTGTGTGTGTGTGTGTGTGTGTGTGTGTGTGTGTGTGCTCTTCATATATGTGTGTGTGAGACAGAGAAAGCCAGGCTCCGCTCCAACGTGGAGCCACCTTTCTTGTGGCATCTTTGACAAATGGCTCGTCCTTTTCAAGAGCAGTCAACTGCAATAGACATCAAACTCCCTGCACTGAAAACAGAGGGGCCAGCTCTGCCTCATCTATTCACTGTGTCACCCAGAGCTGCCTCAACTGCCCGTCCGCTCACAAATGCCGCACTTGTGCCCTGCTCGTACACAATGTAGGCCAATGTCTGCCAGCACGGTCAATAACAAGCCACAGCGGCGCAGCGGGGGATTCAGCGATCAACACACTGATGCCACCGAAGTCAGGAACAACGTCATGAGAACAATTACAACATCATGCACCTCAGCTATGAATCACTGTTTATTTGACGATGACTACATCGCCATTGTTTGAAGGTTTATTTGAAACACGTAATTGATTTTACCACATTAATTTCCTTTGTTTATTAGCATGTAGAGGCAGGATGGGAAGCAAAAACAAACATGGAGGACGATGACATGCAACATGAGAGAGGAGTTTCAAGGATACTGGTTTTAAAAGAGGAAGGAAATGTTCAAACGACTAAACCTGTCTGTGCATTATGAAGTCAGGTATTGTGGTGATGCAGCCGGCGTGTGGCAGGACACTGCCATGTGGAATGAAACTTGGAGGAAGAAAAAAAAGAGGCAACCTGTTGCTTTACCTGCCAACAAACTCTTTCTTATATCAACTATTTCTTATAGTCCTCTATTTAAAGAAGTAAAACCTGTGATATGTAATCACAGTAGTACAGAAAGGTAATGTACACATGCATTTTTGGCTTTATTGTCTATAAATGCAGCATTGTACCTGCTCATTTTTTACTGTGGACCACACTTATTATAGGTCACACTATTGTCACTGTGCGCAAGGCAACTTAAGTTTGTGCTTTTAGTCTTTAGTTAAAGGGCCTATTTGTAAGTTTTCTCTTCTGCCGAAGAGTGGTGATTGTCGATTGAGCGCCTTACAATACGCCCTCTGAGCAGCACTGCGTCTGGTTGCGGTTGTGTGTATACTGACCTCCACCAAAAGGTGCCCAGATGACCCTGCGGATTGTCTTCACCCAATCCTCCATGTCATTCTGGGTGCTGGCCATAAGAAGGTAGGTCTCATGGTTGGCTGTCATCCGCTCTCTGTCTCCCCCTGTTCACATGATGGAGAGAGAAACAGAGATGATTAATACATCCTCTACATAATGAAGTCTCCCTAGTGGCCAAAATCTTGCTGGGAAACAAACCGTCTTCCACATGAGAGAATTGTAGAGCGTTCTGCCCATCTGATTACTTCAAATTAAAACAAGATTTATGGGACTGAAAAACATTTTAAAAAGTTAAAGATTCCCTCTAGACCTAATTTCCAGACATGCTTGGGATAATAGTTTGGGTAACCTCAATATAAAATTCTTGATATTACATCTGCTCCTGCTCCCTCATAAAAGATGTTTAAAAAATCCACATTCTGTGAATATGCAAATGTTCATTTCAAAAGTTTAACAACTAAACACAAGATATTTTGTATGAGCACTGGAGGCTTCCGGTTTCCACATTACACTTGTATTTGTGTAAATTGCATATTGGACCACAGTCAGCTCCGGCACTAGTTGTGAGGTCACAAAATCATGATTGTATGAAAATGCCATGAACTCAAGAGATGAGGTGAGCACAGACTTTACTCCTTTAGATAAATGTGAAAACCGCCTTCTAGTGTCAAACTCTGCACATACATCACTCTGCACAGTGAAAGTCAAACACCCAGGTGAAGTAACAATAAGTAAAACTCATTTCTGAGTGGAGGGGAACTTTAAATGTCCTTACATGACATGATAATTTACTTGAACCTAACCTAACCTGAAGTCTCTTAAAATATGGCAATTTTGGACACACACACACGCACACAAGCATACACACACACATGCACACACACACTGCCCTTTTAACTCACCCGCAGTAATAAATCAAAGAAATGTTTATATCTCAGGGCAGGAGTGTATGTTCCATTAGAGGCAGGCTCTGTATCCTGATTTCACTTGTGGATAATGGCCACGAGCACTCTGCCGTCATGTGATACCGGACAGATTGGAGTGGACCTGTTTCACATAACGAATCTGGTTGCAGCGATTGCTATGACAACAGAACCATTTGCACAGCTCCGCTTCAGCTTTAGTGGGATGAAACAAACAAACAGCGACTGATGGCATTTCACAGGGACGCACCTGCTCTATTATGGGAAGAGATGAGCTATTAACAGACAACCGGTGTGTCACACAATGGTTGAATTATTCATGACTTTGATCATGAATGGATCCCGCTCCATTGATTGTCGCCAAGGATGAGATCTGCGTGTTGCATACAAATACTATTTATAGACAGCAGAAAATGAGGGGCAGGTTAAAGGCTCAGGTTCACCACTAGGAGCCGAAAGGACTTGAAATTTACTATTGAGTGAATATTCTCACTGGAACGGGTCTGTAAAACAAACCAAAAGAGAAGTGAAGTTAGAGCCACTATAATGGGATGTTGCCATGGACACTTAGTAGGTTACATATGCACAATTATCCATATTTCTCATTGTGTAATTAATTCAATATCTTTTAATTGTTTCCATCTCTCAGCACTCGGTGCTGTCAACAAACGATTCAAATTTAAGGTCACTGTTATCGGTGTTGCTATTATGAATTGGAGAACTGATTTACATCTTTGATTATGTGCAATTAAAGTGAATTAACCCCTAAATTTTACAAGAAGCACAGTTTGGAATAACAATGAATAAGTAGTAGGATGACAGCTGTATGGTTGTGGTGTGTCAGAGAGGTGGAGTGAGATTGATGCTCTGTGTCAGTCTTGATGAGATCTCATTAGCAGGCAGCAGATGCCAGTGTTTGCCCTGTGTGGCACTCAGCATGTCCACAGAGTGTTATCCACTGAAAGCTCCCTTCACAAACACAGGCGGTGCAAACTCTGTGACAATAATGGACCTAAGCACAGCTGCATGTTTCGATCTCACATAAAATACAATATATCTCTTCCAGAAATGAGGTTTCAGATGAGGAGTCATTGTAAGGTTTAGCTGGAGCGTCTGCAGATATGCAGGGTCATGTCACTGATTCTTTTCCCATAAAACAATGCCACTTCCTCATCAGCAATAAGTGCTGTACTGTGTGAGTCAGTGATTTAGTGACGTGTATGTGTAGCTGTTTGTTTGTGTCTGCAAGTTTACATATGAGGCAACTTGTTTGTTTGTCTTATTGGCTGAAGATGAGGAGTTTCAACATCAAGTGTTCTTCAGAATCACTGATATTACTCTGTGCTAACCTCAACATGTTCCTTTATTGGTCAGTATCATAATAATAAAGCTAGAGCTGAAATGATTAATCAGTTAGTTGACTGACACAAAATTAATTTGTAACAAATCTCTGGTTCTGGTTGATGAATATCTTTGGGTTTCTGACTGTTGTGTAAGCAAAACAATGCATTTGAAGATGGAAACTTGGGCATTGTAAAATTGTAACAGGAACATTTTCACCATTCTTTTGACATTTTATAGACTTTGAAGATGGTTAATTGAGAAATGATCAGCAGATTATTGGATAATTAAGATAATCAGCAGCCGCAGCGTTTATCCATTATCAATTTGAGTTTTTTTTTTAAATTAACAGAGAAATGTCATTTGCTGTTTATGAGTTTGAAAAGTCACAGGTTGCACAGTGTTTAGGTCTAACAGATGAATGTTGCTTATGTGGTTATAAATAAAATATCATTACAACAGTACAGCACCAATCATCCATTCAAGCATTATCCATCCATCCATTAAACCACATTGAGCCTGGAGTAACTGTGAAAGTGGATTATTCATGGCTGAAATTCAACTCTCATATTAAAGATACTGGAGTTTTCACCTTTATCTTGATAAGCGGAAATCAAGTCCTTCATTTTAACGGTAGCCTAGTTTCCTCTGTCCCTGATCCAGTGATTAGTCACTACCCGCTATTGACTTCCTCTCAGAGCCATTAATTACACCTCACATGGAGTAGACACAATCGATTAACTTTATCAATCACACCCACATCTTTAGCCGTGAACGTGCAGGGCAACGTTTGTATCGACAATAAACTTATCACATCATCTCCATGAATATCTGGACGTGTGCTACTTTGTCCATTCATGACAAAAACATAGAAGCTTCAGCTCATGGATTCAAATCCACGATGTCATGTCATGTTTCCCCTTCCTGTGGCGCGCAGCGGATTCATGGTGTTTGTCAACAAAACAGCAACGAAGCGAAGCACTCACCGGTAAATGTGCAGCTCACTTGCCTACTCGCACATGTGAGTGATTCTCAAGCCGGTGTGAAAGCTCCGTCTCTCCAAAACCCTCGAAACAGCGCTTCACGTTTTGATTATTAACCCCAAATCCTTGTTCTGTGACGAGCTCCACACATCCGCTGATAAAATAACCGATTTAATCCAAAGAGGAAGAGAATATCGATCTGTTGGTGTGTCCACTGAGACCGTGAGTGACGGCCAGGGCCGGTCCAAGCTTTTTTGGAGTGCGAAGCAAAAAGCCCCCAGACCCACCCCAACAGAAGGCTTTACAGGGGTAGTTATATAAAGGCTACAGACATTTAAAAGGTAAGACTGACATTATTCTATATTTTTATGACTAAAATCTACAATGTGTTGTCACTACATTCATATTTCACTACCTAGGCTACATTGCTTGTGTTCATCATAATAATATAACATACAGTCCAACGGTTTGGCTGATTGATTAGATTTTAATAGTTTGTGGATAATAATGGAGAAATACACTATCAAACTTTAGGTACACAGTTCTGTTAGTTTTGTTTATTTTGGTCTTTTCTTTTGCCTTTTTTTTTTTTTTTTACTACAAAACTAATCTGTACAGTCTCCTTACTGTACAACGTGCATATGAATGCATCTTGAATATTTAGATTATGTAAATCACTGACAAACATGACCAAAAACAAACAGAAAACAAAAGAAGTGATCAATGTAATACTTAAGAAAAACATGCATACTTGAATAGATAAAGGGAAATAACGATGACAAGTTCATATTAATTAGAGAAGCTGCCTCTTTAGCCACAACTAACATCTCAGGTTACCATGTCCCAGCAGGTGCAGGATATTTTTGCAGTGATTTATTAGACTGTGGGTGTCTGAAAATACACTTTGTTGTGCTTTTTGCATAATTTCCAGTGTTGGTCCAAATCTGCTCAGGAAAAAAATCTAATACGAACATAATGCAAAATAACAAATCATTAACCTGTTTGTCATCTGGCTCTGAGATGGGTCAGTGGACCTGCTTTCAGTGCAAAAACTACTGTCTCTGTCTCACAACAAGACAAAATAGGCACATTAATCTTTAATCTTTAATCTTTAATCTTTAATCTTTAATCTTAATCTTTAATTACTCTAATTCTTGTATCAAGAAAATGATTTTCCATACAATTCTCAGAATGCTTTCTATGACCTGCCCTAGTGTATTTGTTCAGAAAGCTCAATTACACTGTTGGTCAAAATGTCATGTTACTGAACCCTGATCAATCTGATTCTCTGTGTTGACCTCTGAAGTGGATCTGTCAGAGGGATTCCACAGTGACACCAATTAGTCATACTGGCCCATTTGGCATGCAAAGGTTTTTCAGTCACCGGCATCCCCACCCTGTCAGCATTGTTCCTGTTATTTGTCATGCAAATGATTTGTGATTCCCTGCTGTCCCTGGGAATGCTTCTGCCCACATTTAAGATGAATCAGCCTTTAATGCACAGCCTCTGTTTCCATTACTTGCAGGGGCAAGAGGCAGCATTTCCTCTAGGAAACAAACGGTTGTGAAGCTGTTAAACAAGCATGCAACAGGATTATACAGCATACCATGGCCATTACAACAGACTCCTGTTCCTCCTGCCATTTCCTGTTGATGCTCAACTTTCTTCCACAGTGGCTGAGTCTGCCACTTGGTTTATAAAGACGGGTGAAATGTCAAACACACTTAGCACACGGACGATTTCCTGGTGAAAACCTTGAAAACTATCATTACAAGACCTCTGAGGGAGCTCCTCCTCAGATTTCTCTATGACTGAGGAACACATTTGGAAAGCCTTCTCTAGCCCTTATGAATATT